CCATCCCCCCTGGGGGGTGATTTCTCGCTTTCTGTCTCTCTCTCTCTCTCTGTCTTTCTGGCAAGTGCATGAACCCTATAGCAAAAATCTCTTCCCAAAAAATCAAAACTTTTTTGGCCATGGGATGCAGACATGCACTGGCCAGAGGGAGACAGAGAAAGGGAAAGTGAGAAATCACAATTACACCCCCTGCCCCAGGATGGCCACACTGCGATCCCTGCTCCTCTGTTCTCCTCCTGGAATTTTGGGTATGTGCGCACATACGCCTGGAGTGGTGTTCAAGTCCCAGGGTTTGGGGCTCAAACCATGATCAGCCATGTGGGAGTCCAGTGCCTTAACCACCATGCCAAAATCATATAATAGTCAGTACTGAAATGTTCAATTTGGAACAGTGTAATCGTAATTGGCCAGAGGGCATGTGTGCTTGGCAGGAGAGAGAGAGCACCCCAATGGGGCATGGTCTCACTGCAATCCCCTATCTCGCCCTCCTTTCGGGGTTTGGGGCTCACGTGCGTAGGCACCCAGTATGGTTTTCAGGCTGTTTGGGCCGGCATTGGGACTGCACAGTATCATGTGGGACCTCATCCCTTGGCTAGGTCACAGAACCGGCTTGAGGGCTCATGTTTGCTGTGGAGAAAGACCTCAGGGAGACCAAACATGGTGGGTGCCACGCGTGCACCGCCGGCCGCAGTGTCGCCTCCGAAGCAGGTGTGACTGCTGAGACCACGCGGCCGGTGCTGGCGGTGGCTCCTTCTCGGTCCATCAGATCGCCTGGCACTCGGGGAAGCCTGAAGAGGCAGAGTAGGTTCAGGCCTTCCTCACTTAAAGGGATTAAGAGGGGGCAATGAATTAGACGCAGGACACTGTGGGGAAGGGCAAGCACACAGCCCTCCTCCTCCAGCGGGTGGGGCAGGCTGGGAGCTGCAGCCACAGGGCAGGGGTGAGGCTGCACCAGCACCGCTGCTTCCTGCTGGGGGCACCCTGGCCAGAGAGCCAGGAGCACCTGCCAGGGAGGCAGAGCAGGGGGCTGAAGGGCCTCTCCAGACCACAGCGCTGGCCGCAGGCCACCTCCCATCAGGTCCCCGTCTGCCTGTGCTGAGTGCCAGGCGCCCCGGCATTCTGCCCTCGTGTGGAAGTGGGAGCAGTAAGTTCCTGCCTTGCAGGAAGCTGCCCCTCCGAAACCGAGGGTGGACAGGGCCCTGTCCCCAGAGCTGTTTCCCAGGCCCCCCAGCACACAGTGCAGCCCACTCCAACGCGGGCCCTGGCCCTGGCCCTGGCTTCGACACGGCCCTCCACCCTAGGGGACGGTGCTCAGGTGAGGAGTCCCAGACGCGGGGGTGAGGAGGCAGACATGCCCTGTGAGTCTGTGTGAGCGCGTGTGTGCGAGTGACAGATGACAGATTTGTCCCCCCCAGGAATATGCTTGGGCCACACACACTACCACAGACACTGGCAAATGTGAAGCCCGTAGTTGTCATTCGCCCAGAGGCAGGTGTAAACTTAGACACGATGTGGCCACACGAGCATTCGCGCGAGCACACGGGCAGGGCAGCGGCAAACTGGGCCCCCTGCAACAGAAGGCTCCAGCCTCCTCGGGTTTGGCCTCCTGGCCAAGTCTCCCCAGCACCTCCTCAGAGGCCGGGCTTGGCTGCCTCCCCAGCCCTGAGCCCTGAGTCCCCTTTGCATGCCTGGGTGTGCGTGCACTGGGCCTCAGGGCAGCCCTGCTGCTGGGAAACCCCAGTGTGGATGGGCGCAGAGCCCAAGGAGCCCTGCGGAGTGGCTGGCCAGGGGCGAGGGGCATCAAGAGTGCGGGTGCCACAGGGGGCCAGGTCTCTCCCAGAGCTGCCCCCCACCCCCAATGCGCACACCCATGGCTCCAGGTCTGGCTGCCTCTCCTTCCTGAAAGCTGGGGGGAGCCACCGCCCCACCGGAAGTGCTGCCTTTGAAGTTGTCTGGAAACCCCTCTGGGCCTGTCTCATGCAGGAAGTCAGGCCCAGGAGGGAGGCCTCCCTGAGGGTGGAGGTGGGGCCTGGCGTGGCAGCCTGGCAGCTGTGGGCACTCTTGGCAGGAACCAGGCAGTCCTGGCCTGGAGGAGGGGACCGATGTGGGGGGAGGTAGCCCCTATGGGGAGGAGCTCAGCAGTCCACACCCCGGGCGGCCTGGAACTAGGCCGCGGAAGCTGCAGGGCGGAAGCTCAGAGGGCAGCCAGCTCACCAGGGTCTCTCAGAGGTGTTCTGGGACACATCCCTGATGGTTTCCGAAGGCTTGGGCCTCGGGACCCACTCCTGCAGGATGGGACTGAGGCTCTGTGACCCTCCGCTGGCTCCTGGCCAAGTCAGGCACTGAGCCCTGGGGGATCGGGACCTTGATAACTGCCCCTGCTCCCCAAGACTTTTACCTCCTTCGTGGGCAACCTCCGGTCCTGGGGCCCCCATTAGCTTCCAGAATGTGGAGCCAGGAAGTGTGGCTGGCAGCGCTGGGAGGGGTGGGGTGGTGCAGCAGTTATGCATCTGGAACTGGCTGCAGTGGCTGGTGTGGGCCGAGGCCTGGGCTAACCTCCGGCCCTGATGGTGGGCGGGTGGCAGGATTGAGGCCTGCAGAGAGCAGGGGCCTTGGGCCTTGGTTTCTGGGGGTTGCCAGGGACTGGTCTCCCCTACACCCCTGCCGCTGGCCCAGACCCCCAATGCTTGGCCCAGTTCAGGCGGCCAGCGCCCTTCCGTCTCACTGACCAGTGACCGGCCCTGCCAGCCCTGTGTCCCCACCGGCCTGTGCCTTCTGCCCCGCTGCCCCCAGAGGCCACCCTTGGGCATCTCCCCTTCTGCTCAGTTAGAACGAGCTCCCTCCCCCACACTGTCACCGCCAGCCAGACCAGGGCCCTTTCCACCGCTTCCTCTTCCCGGCGCCCCTGTGCACTCACTCTGGGAGCCAAGGACATGGCACAGAGCGAAGCCTGCTGGGGACACAGAGCTCAGCCTGCTGGGGACACAGAGCTCGAAGGTGCTACTCACTCCCTCGTGAGAACACCAAGGTCCTCATTTCAGATGCCCTGGGCTCAGAGGGGTTAAGGGACTTGCCTGAAGCCACAGAGCTTCTGCTGGGGGTCAGTGCAAGGGCCAGGCACCGCCCTCCCCTTGAGGAAAGCAGCCTCTTGGAGCCCTGGTGAGACGGGGAAGACCCATCCTCAGACACAGCCCCTCCTGCGTCCTGCTGCCTGAGGCTGATGTCTCACTTTCTCTCCCCAGGGAGCCCGCAGGGACTGGCTGAGCCGGGCTCAGTCACTGGGAGAGCACTGCTCCTGTCCTGGGGCCTGCTTAGCCAGGGAGCCACCATGGCCTGGTCCTGGGGTGGCCTGGGGCCCAGGGGCCTCTGGTGGGCATCCCTGCCCTCCAGCCCCTTACGGGCCACCTCTTCAGCGTAGCGGAGGCTGAAGGGTATAGGGACCCCAGTCCGGGAGCACCCTCGGAGCACCCACATGGACACTGCCCAGGGGTTCTTGTAGGTGGCAAGTCCAGAAGGCGCTGCCCCCTGCTCACCTGTCCCTGCCTCACTGAGCAGCCTGTGGAAGGCCGCTGTGTGAATGGGGCCCTCAGCTTCGGCCAGGCCAGCCAGGGGCCATACTCCCTCTGCGCCCCACCCTGTCACCTGTCGTGCCCAGTGCTGATCATCCTCTCAGCCTTCATGAATGACACGCGCAAGCTGTTCTGAGGACCTCGCTTAATGCTCACAGGTCCTGATTTTGTGGGTGAGGACAACGAGGCACAGAGAGGTCATATTATTTGTCTGGGGGCACACAGCCAGTGCATAGGAGTCAGGGCTGGAACTCAGGTCACCTGACCCAGCGCCTCTGCTCTTAGTCACAAAAGCCTCGTGTCTTTTTGTATTAAGCCCTCGAGCCCCCACCTCACAGCTGGGAGGGTTTTCTGCCTTCCTGGGGCCCGTGGGGACTTCCTCAGAGTACAGTCTCTGTCCCACGCACCCCCTTCTCTGCTGCCTGGCTGCAGGGCCACCTTGTTGAGATAGGGGCCGAGAGGATGGGGGAGGGCACCCCAAGGGCACGGTTGCCCGGGCACTGCCCTTTGGTTCGCTGCCGACCCACCCCGGCTTACCTCCCAGTCTCTCAGAGGCGTGAAGACAGCCAGTGGCCTCCCTCCCACAACCCCCTGCCAGGAAGCAATGGAACCCCACCTGCTCCAGTGCCACTCACCGCTGCCCTTGGGAAGGGGCGGGGGAGGGCTCCCTGGATAACCTCCACAGAACCACAGACTGCCCGCCCCTCTGGGACAGCACCGAGCTCCCCTGACACCAGGCATTTTTCACTCCTTTGATTTTTCTAGAACTGTAACCTTCCCCCACCCCCCCAGACCTTCTCGCCAGGCCACAGGCCTGGGCTAGCAGGTGGCATAGAGATGAAGGCACGGAATCCTGCATAGTCCACTGGGCAGTTCAAGCCCTGGGCCTGGCAGCTGGGCTCGTGTGCGTGTGTGCCCAAAATCTGAGAGGAGAATGGGAGAGAAGGAACGGTGGTGTGCTCAGCCCCCGGGGAGGAGTCTCACTGTCCCCAGTGAATGCATGCACCCTGTAGCAAAACTGAAAAATAAAAAAGAGGAAGCCCTGGAGGAGCTGACGAGGAAAAGCAGCCCCGCGTCCACAGTAGGTGAGCTGCTGGAGCGAGCTGCTCCCTGCTGTCCCTCCCTCCGCATGGCACCTGCCCATTTCTGTCCTCTCCCCTGCACCTCGGTGACCCTAGGAGAGCTGCCTGGCCTGGTGTCTGTTCCCTAGGCTCCAGGCTACCTCCCTCAGCTCCGAACACCGTGCCCCGGGCCCTTTCCCTCTCTGCCTCCTCACCCCCATCCTCCCGTCTGCCTTTGGGGCTGACTCCTCTGGTCGGTTGGATTCCAGACACGTTCCAGCTCAGCCCCTTAGCGAAGCCTTCCAGGCTGTGAGAATCAGTGCGCAGGTCGAACATCAGTGATTAAGATTTATACTCTTGCAAGTCTACAGACCTGGGAATAGGCACCTTTCAAACAGAAGCAGCGTCTAGCCTCGTTTCGGCATCTTGAGCTCCCTGCTACGTTCCGCGTCTCCCAATGCCCAGCAAGGAGAGGCCTCGGAGACAACCTCCCACACCTGTTTGAGAGGCGGGCAGAAGCTTAGAGAGGTGAAGGCATGTGCCCACGGGCCCACAGCAAGTCAGTGCTCTCCTCCAGGTTCCCACCCCACCACCGCCTCTGCTGGTTTAAGCCAACAGAACCCGGAACCTGGACACTGACTACCGGGATCAAAGCATTTCTCAGCCTCCCTTATACTCAGGTGTGGCCAGGAGACACAGTTTTGGCTTTGATGTGAGTAGAGTGGTTTCAGGAAGGGCCCTTCAGGGACAAGGCACATCCTTCTCCCTTTCTCCTTCCTGTTGTCCACAATTTAGATATAATGGCAGGAACTTCAGCAGCCCCCTTGACCACAGGAGACCTTGGGAGGGGTATGGTGCATGGCAGAGCCACAGTTTAGGAGTCCAGGTTGTTCACATGAGGGCAGGGCTCGTCAGATAGACCATGGCCACTTCTAAACATTTCATCTCGTCTGAAATATTAGTTCATGTTTTCCTTTTCTTTTAAGAAAAATGTTTACTTGGGACCAGCAGTTGGCGTAATGGCTGTGTTGCTGGACTCCCATGTAGTTGACCATGGTTCGAGTCCTGGACCCGGTGGCTTAAACTCACACTGTGTCATGTGTGTGCGTGCCCAAGACCCCAAGAGGAGAATGGAGGAGAAGGGATTGTGGCGTGGCCATCCCCCCTGGGGGGTGATTTCTCATTTTCCTTCTCTCTATCTCTCCAGGGAGCATGTGCGCCCTATGGCAAAAACCTTACCAGAAAAAAACAGTTTTTAAAATGTATTTTGCCAGAGAGAGGCAGACAGGCGGGAGGGGAAGAAAGCGGCACTGCTCCGCCCCAGGAGCAGGGTCCTGCCACAGCTCCTCCTCCATTCTCCCACCCTGCTGGGGTTTGGAGCACACAGGTACATGCTGGCATGTCTTTAAGCCAACGAGGCCAGGGTTTAAACCACTCAGTGGGCCATGTGGGATCTGGCTCCCTTAAGCACTGGCCCTAAAATGTATTTATTTCCTGTCAGGAGACAGGGACGCACAGCACTAGCCATGCCTTGAGCCTCCCTGCCCCCACGCCCACCTTTCTGCCAGCTGGGGTCACAGTGCGCTCACGGCACACACAGCCTCAGGGCAGCCCAGGATCTGAACCTCTGGCCCAGCACCACAAGGTGCCCTGCCGCCTGGACCGCCTCCCAGGCCTTCTGGGCTTTCCGTGGCTCGGCCAGGTGTCTTTTCTAAGGATACACAGGTGGACAGGGAAGGTCTTGGGCAGAGCAGGGCTGAATCCCTGGGCTGGAGAGTCAGCACCTCAGGGGGCATGGGGCCCCACCCCGCATTTCCACAGGAGATCTCTCCAGGAGCCATGGCACAGTCCTTCCAAAGCGGAGTTGCTCTGGCTGCAGGACGTGGGTGGCGGCCTCCCGGGGTTCCAGCTTCCCTCCTGCACAGAGCTTCTGCCACCTCCCTGCCCCAGGGTGCCAGGGCCCAGGTCTGGTGTCAGACAGACAGACTGCCAGGAAGGTTGGAAGGCACCAATGGCCGTTGCCTCTGGGCCTGCGGCAGGGTGGCACAACTCCGTCACCCAAGGGCAGCTCGGGCTCCAGAAACTCGGGCACGGTGGCCCCTCACCAAGCCCCCTCGCCCCAGGGGACAGGCAGGACGAGCAGCTGGTCCCACTCCTCTGCAAAGCTGCCTGGGCAGCTGGAGCTGGACCAAGCCCAGAGGAGACTGAGCGGCTGGAGCCCCAGCCCCCTGCCAGGAGGCAGATGGACTCACCCCACTCGGAGTGCAACCTCGCCGTTACCACCTCGCCGCTGCCCTTCGGCGCTGACGGGGCCTGGCCTCTTTGGGCTTCTGCTCCACCCTTCAGCAAGCCCTGCCCTGCCTGCCTCCCCCTGCTGCTCTGGGACTGAGACAGGGCTCTGCGGCCAAGGGCTGGTGTCCCTGTCACCAGTCAGATGGGGGTGGCTGCCGTGTACACCCTAGCTGGCCGTGTTCCAGGGCCATCTGCCTGCTGAGCAGGTCACCACGAGGCACGCATGTCACCATAGGGCCATGCTTCTCACCAATTGGTAGGTAGAACACAAGTTTTTCAATTTTTCTGTGAAAAAGCAAAACCGCAGGTGCTGGCAGGGGCATTGTGGTTATGGCACTAGGACTCCCACATACTGATCATGGCTTGAGTCCCAGACCTTGATAAATGGCGCCGGACATCCTGAGAGGGGAACGGAGGAGGGATTGACAAGGGCCATCTCCTGCTGGGGGTGATTTCTCACTTTCCCTCTCACTGTTTCTGTCTCTCTCTAGCATCACCCTAGGACAAAAAAATGGTAAAATTTGGTTAAAGAATGTTTTAATTTCCAGGGGCCAGCAGATGGCGTGGTGGTTGGGGGCACTGGATTCCCACATGGGTGACTACGGTTCAAGTCCTGAACCTGGTGACTCGCTTTCTCAATTTCTCTCTCTCTCTCTGGTCAAATTAAAAGTGTATAAATAAATAAAGTTAAATAAAATAATTATTTAAAAAAAAAAAAGAATGTTTTAATTTCCAGAGGGTTTGTGCACTTGCCAGAGAGCGCACGTCCCGGTAGTGTGGCCACTCCGCAGTCCTTCCTGCGTCTCTGTCAGCATTGTGGGCGCACACGCATGCCTCAAGGCTCGGAGCTGGGATTCACACCGTGGTCAGCCATGCGGGGCCCGGCTCCCACACCCAGTGCTAACCCAGTGAGTTATGGGGCCAGCCCTATTTGGAAGATTGTGGCTTACCTTGTTTGCAATTGTAGAATCCGGTACCTCTTCATCCACAAGACAACATGATTTCAAGACGGCGGGCAGAGGAGGTTGGTTTTAGGCAGAGAAGGGCTGGAGATAGAAGCAAAGTCTGAAAAGCAGACGAGTCATTTCAGAGCCTTCTTGGCAGGTGGGGCCAGGGAGACAGGGAAAAGTGACAACCAGCATCAGCTCTCCTGCTTTTGTGTGAGGATTAGAGGGGCCTCCACCAGCAGCCAAACGGGCCTGTGGGCAGCTGTGCTGCCCTCTCTCCCCTCTGGTCCCTGCAGGTCTGGCAAGGACAAGGTTCGGGCTGGTGACTCAGAGGCCTTCCTGTGGATCCTTGGTCTGGTCTGTGGAGGTCTGAGCAGGAACTTAGCCCCGAACGATGGCCTCCTACAGCTTTCTCTGAGCCGCTAACCCGTCCTTCACGGCGGGGCCAGCACCCGGGGAGACACCTGCAGCTGCACAGACTGACTTTTCTTCTTCTTTTTGACTATAGACAGACAGAGAGAGACAGAGAGACAGAAAGCGAGAAATCACCCCTCAGGGGGATGGCCACGCCGCAATCCCTTCTCCTCCATTCTCCTCTCGGGATCTTGGGCACGCACGCACATGTGCTCAGCGTGAGTTTTAAGCCACCGGGACTGGGACGCGAACTGCGGTCGACTACGTGGGAGTCCAGCGACGTAGCCATTACGCTAACTGCTGGTCCCTGACCTTGGTTTCCAAAGGTCTGTGTGAGTGTAGGAGAGCCCTGTGCTATGGAAATACTGTGTAACACAAAAGTCGGGCTGTTGGCTTAATTAGTTTGTTGTTTTGTGGTTTTGTTTTCTAGGTTTTTACCACAAGGCACATGCGCTTGCTGGAAAGAGACAGAGAGAGGGAAAGTGAGAAATCACCACCACCCCCACCCGGGGAGAGGAGAATGGCCACGCCGCAATCCCTTCTCCTCCATTCTCTCTCGGGATCTTGGGCACACACGCACACACGCCCGGCGTGAGTTTAAGCCACTGGGTCTGGGATTCAAACCTCGGCCGACTACGTGGGAGTCCAGCGACGTAGCCATTACGCCATCTGCTGGTCCCCCTAGGTTGTTTTTAAGTGCACTTGTTTTTCCATAGATGAGGTGAGGCCATCCTCTCACAATGGGCCCATGGAGAGCCTGTCCTGGAAACAAGTGCATCTGGTCCCAGGCTGGCTTGCTGCATGGATCCCAGAGCAACTGAGCTCCGAGGTGCAGAGGAAACTGTTCCATTTTGCTTTGTTTTACGTTTGTTTGTTTATTTATTTAGAGAGATTTTTGCTAAAGGGCATGTGCCAGAGACACAGCGAGAGAGAAAGTGAGAAATCACCCTCGCCAGGGGTGGGGGCGGTGGCCACACCCAATCACTTCTCCTTCATTCACCTCTCTGGACTGAGCATGTACGAACACCGGCACCCAGCATGAGTTTCAAAGCCAGGTCCGAGACTCAAATCGCACTCGGCTATGTGGGAGTCCACTGCCTTAACCAGTATGCTACCTGCTGGCTCCTTAAGTTATTTATTGTGAGACAGAGATAAATAACCTCAAGCAGGTCTCACACCATGAGCACCCTCAGCCATAGGCCTCCACAGCTGGGCCAGAACTTTCTTCACTGCTATAGTGCACATATGCTTGCTGGAGAGAAGGGAGAGAGAGCAAGAAAGTGAGAAAGCACTTCCTGCAGTTCCTTCTCCTCCCATCTCCTCTCAGGACCCTGGGCACACATGCACATGGGCTGTTTTTCAAGCTGCCAAGTCCAGGACTCGAACAGTGCAGCCAGTCGTGTGGATCCAGCTGTCTTAACCACCAAGGCACCATCTGGCCCAAAACTTTTTAAAAAATTGTAATAAAATGCACATTACTTACCATTCTAGCCATTTTCAGGTGGACAGTTCAGAACTGTGGCGTTAAGTACATTCACGCTGTCGTGCAACTGTCACCACCATCCCTTTCCAGGTTACTCGCTTTCCCAAACCGAAGCTCCATATCCATTAAACAATAGTGCCTGTTTCCAAGGCCCCAGCTCTGGGCTCTCACATTCTACTTCCTGTCTATAAACCTGACTAGCCTAGGTATGGAATGGAAGTGGAATCATACCGCAATTACCCTTCCGTGACTGGCTTATTTCACTCTGTATGTCTTCAGGTTTCATCCGTGTTGTACAATAGAATGTTGCAGAATTTCCTTCCTAAGGATGAATAATATTCAAATTGGGGCCGGACCAGCAATTGGCATAATGGCTATGTTGCTGGACTCCCATGCAGTTGATCATGGTTCGAGTCCGGACCCGTTGGCTTAAACTCACACTGTGTGCGTGTGCGTGCATGCCCAAGATCCCAAGAGGAGACTGGAAGAGAAGGGATTGCGGCATGGCCATCCCCCTTGTGGGGGGTGATTTCTCGCTGTCTCTCTCTGTCTTCCTGGCAAGTGCACGTGCCCTATAGCAAAAGTCTCTCCCAAAAAATGTAAAAAAAAAAAAAAAAAAAACCTGGATGGTGTAGTGGTTATGTGGCTGAACTCCCACATGGCTGACTGTGGTTTGAGTCTCGGGCCGGGTGGCTTCACATCATGCTGAGTGTTTGAGAGCGCATGCCCAAGATCCCAGGAGGAGAATGGAGAAGGAACATCCCTCCTGGGGGTGATTTCTCACTTTCCCTCTCACTCTCAGTCTCTTTGTCTCTCCAGTTAGTGCATGCACCCGAAGGCAAAAACTTCCAAAAAAAATTATATATATATATTCAATTGCTCACCAAAATTACTAAGGCAAAAATAACCCATGGTATATAGGCCAAATTTAGGCCAGTCAGTGCAGTGGCCTGGTGGTTAAGGTGGCTGGATCGCATGAGACCAATTCCAGGCTTCGAGTCCTAGAGCAGGTGACTTAAAAGACATGCTGGGTGTGTGTGTGTGTGTGTGTACCCCAAACCCCAAGAGGAGTACAGAGAAGAGACTACAGTGTCACCCTTCCCCCCAGGGGGTGAGTTCTCACTTTCAGTCTTCCTCTCTTCTAAAAGCAAAAACAAACAAAAGAAAACCGCACTATGTCTGAGCTGGGTCAAGTGAGTGAAGGCTCTGCCTCTCCCTCTCCAGGGCTCTGGGCCTCAACGGCTGCTGCCCTCCTCTCTGCCTCCCAGCCCATCCACCACCCACAAGGCCTGTCACCTTCCTCTTGGGCTGTTGCAGCTCCAGGTCCAGAAAGGCATTTGATTGGCTCTGTTCTCACCCCTGGTAGGTCACTGGTCAACACTGGCAGCCTATGGACGGGCTCCCTGCAGCCAGGCACCCACGACCAGTCCAGTCAGTGGTGGGGAGGGCAGGCTCACTGGCTGCCTGCAGAACCCGGGCAGCGGCTGCTGTCCACAGCTGTTCTGGGTGCCAGGTCATCCGGAGGTGGAGCCTGGCCATCTGATGGGTCAAGGAGGACTCCAGGTGAGCTGGAGAGTGAAGGTCAGGTCTGAGGCTGGCTAGCCTCCTTCTGAACCCCAAGCTTGCAGGTGATGAAGGGCAGAGAGGAAGGAGAAGCCTGCCCTGGGCAGAGAACCCTGTCCCAGCCCTCCTTGCCCCCTAATGAGAAACCTGGGGCATGAGGCAGGTGCCGGGTGTGGAGGTAACCCCACAGGTCCCCAGATGCTTCCCTCCTTAGCAGCCCAAGCCTTCTCGCCAGCTCCCAGTTGTCACTTAGGGAGCCCCTGAGTGACAGCGAGTCTTTCCTGACACCTCAAGTTTGAGGGTGTCCTATTTGTATTCTGGAACCTTCTGTACAAGCTCTTCAGCAAGTCTCTGGACACAGGGTCTGTGGTACCTGGCCCGTTAGTTCCAGGCTCAAGTAATGGGCACCCTGTTCCCACAGAGCCAGGGGCGGGGCCGCAGGGCTGGCACTGGCCCTCTCTGCTTCTCCCAACAGAGCTGCCCTCCCTGACAGTGAGGCTGGCTAGCCTCCTTCTGAACCCCAAGCTTGCAGGTGATGAAGGGCAGAGAGGACATGCCCCACCAGTGAGGCATGTCCCTAATTAATTGCTGTCTCACCTGTGCAGCTGGGCCGGGCCTCCCCTGGGCCAGGCTCCTTGTTGGAAGTAGGCTGATCTCCCGCTGGGGAGGGTCAGGGTTGATGTGGAGCAGTCACGGCTCCCACACTGAGAGCAGATTTCTGTAAACAACTCAGAGGCATCCAGCCTCCCAGGTTCCCACTCAGCTGGGATTTCTGACCTAAGAGACATGAGGGGGCCCCTCAGGGCCCTCAGACCCAACACAGACCTCAACGGTTTGGAAGGCTGAGGCCCCCGATGCCCCACCCATCTGCAGACACCCAGCTCTTTTTTCTATTTAAGAGCTTCATTGATGTATAATTTATGTACCCTAAATTCATCCAGTTGTCAGGGTGCAGCTCCACGATTCTAGTAAATGCAGAAGGTGCCACAATCAGCCTCCCCACAAGGCTCCTCGAGCCTGTTCACAGTAGCCCTGCTTCCACCCTCGGTGTCTCGGGGTCTGGCCGGACCTCCGGGACTGATCTGCACAGGAGAGACTGTACTTCCGGCACCCCGCACAATGCCGGCACAGGAGAGACTGTACTTCCGGCACCCCGCACAATGCCGGGCACAGGAGACTGTACTTCCGGCACCCCGCACAATGCCGGGCACAGGAGAGACTGTACTTCCGGCACCCACACAATGCCGGGCACAGGAGAGACTGTACTTCTGGCACCCACACAATGCCGCTGTGCACGTTCAGTGCGGCCGTCAGTGCCTTCCACGAGTCAGCCCTTTCTTCCGAAGCAGGCTTCGCGATCCATGGTTCTGCCCAGTGTGGGCGGATGTAGGTGCTCCATGCACATTAGGGTGCGAGGCTGAGCTGTGATGTTTGGTAGGTTAGGTGCACTGAATGCATTTTCTTTCTCTTTCCTTTTCTTTCTTTTGTTTTTTAAATTTTTTAGAAGGTTTTGTTTTGGGACCAGCAGTTAGTGTAATGGCTATGTCGCTGGACTCCCACGTAGTCGACCGCGGTTCACGTCCCGGACCTGGTGGCTTAAACTCACGCCGGGTGCGTGTGTGTGCGTGCCCAAGATCCCGAGAGGAGAATGGAGGAGGAGGGATTGTGGCGTGGCCATCCCCCCTGGCTTTCTGTCTCTCTGTCTCTCTCTGTCTGGCGAGTGCACGCACCCTATAGCAAAAACCTCTCAAAAAAAAACAAGATTTTGTCTTATTCGTGCTTTATTCATGAGAGTGCATGTGTGCGTCTACGAGCGTGAGAGACGGGGGCTAGCTCATGGCCTAGAGGTTGTGACAGCCAGGTCCCAGCTGGCTGACCACGAGTCCTGACTGCACTGGCTCAAAAAAACACTGGGTGCATGTGCATGAGTGCCCAAATCCCAACAGGATAGAGAAATGGAGGAGGGCCGGCACATGGCCAGCTTAGCAGCTGATGTCCCAGACCTGGTGGCTTGAGAATCAAGCCAGATGCATGTGTTTACGTGTGCCCCAAATCCCAAGAGTAGAGAAGGGACTGTGACATGGCCATTCCGCCTGGGGGGGTGACTTCTCACTTTCTCTCTCTCTCTGGCGAGTGCCCACATTCTATAGCAAAAACTACATTAACAAAAGAAAGAAAGAGAAAAGGGACCGTGGTGCGACCATGCCCCATTGGGGGGTGGTTTCTCCTCCCTATCTCTGTCTCTCTATCTCTCTCTGGCCAGCACATGTGCCCTCTGGCAATTAGAAAGAAAGAAAGGAAGGAAGGAAGGAAGGAAGAAAGGAAGAAGGAAAGAAAGAAAAGTGGGTGGTTAAGATGCTGGATTCCTACATGGCCCACCACAGTTTGGGTCCTGGACCCAGTGGCTTGAAAATCACACTGGGCATGTGTGCTAACATGCTCAGAATCCCAGGAGGAGAACTGAGGAAGAAGGATTGTGGGGTGGCCATCCTCCCTGGGGTGATCTCTTATGTCTCCTCTCATTGTTTCTCTCAGTCTCTCTGGTGAGCAGTCGCACCCTGTGGGAAAAACCTTAAAACATAAAAAGACAAGACAGAAACTGCCCCGTCATTTTCCGAAAGTGTCGCATCAGTCTACATCCTCATCAACAGCGCGGGTTCCTCCATACACATATGGCTGACAGGTTCGGTTTTTAATTCCAGACATTCTGGTAAGTGCATATTGGTGTCTCATTGTGGATTTATTTATCGAGAGACTTTTGCTATGGCACACATGCACTCACCAGACAGAAAGTGAGAACTCACCCCCAGGGGGTGTGCATGTCGCTATCCCTTCTCCATTTTCCTCTTGGGATTTTGGGCACACATGCACAGATGCCTGGTGTGAGATTCAAGCTACCGGGTCCAGGACTCAAACTGCCATTGACCATGTGGGAGCCCAGCACTTTAGCCACTGTGCCACCTGCTGGCCCCTATTCATTTATTTTCTTTTCACGAGAGAGAGTGAGAAGAGCACCCTGGACAGGGGCTGGTCACTCTGTGGTCCCCTCCCCCACCTCAGCATCTCAGGTATGCACGCACGCCTGGCCTATTCCAGGACCACTTGGTCCTGGACACAGACTGGTTGGCCACATGGCTTCCGGTGCCGGGTTCAGTGCACTGTGGCTGTGCCACAGAGGCCGGCCCAGTCCGCACCTTCCCTCCCAGCCTCGCAGTATGTGGGCATCAGGGAGTGGAACTCCCAGGCCTCTTCAGCCCAGCCCTCCCTGCTCCAGTAGCCTTCCTGACTGCTCCAGCCCTAGGGGTTGCTGGCCACGGTCTGCGTCCGCTGTGTACCCACCGTGGAGAGTTGTAATAGGGGCAGCTGGCGGTGACCCGCACTGCCTGGACAGGCGCCTCTGTGAGGTCTCCTTCTGCGCCTTCTCTAGGCTCGGCCGGTCCCTCCTGGCTGGTGAAGTAGCAGGCATGGCGGAAGCAGAGGTTTGGTAGGCTCTTGCATGCCGGGGATTATCCTGGGGGAAGCCAAGCAAAGGAGGCCCAAGTATGTGCGGTGGCTGCCCATGGCCCAGCGACAGCTAAGGTCCCCTTCAGCCACATGGAGACCACCTCAGAGGACTCCACCCAACACCCTGTTCCTGAGCCAGGAAGCCCTCCCAGCCCCCCACCCAGTGCACTCCTGGGCCCTCCACAGAGCATCACGCAAAGCCGAGCTTCAGGGCCCTCCTTCCCCGCCAGGGCCTCTGCTCCCGGCTGGAGAGGGGTGTCAGTGAGGGTGACTCCTGGCCCAGTCCTTCCAGATGTTCTGGGCCCTCCAGGGGCGAGCTTCTGGGAGGGGCAAGCTTCAGGCTGGGGCGCAGGGGCGCAGGGGCGCAGGGGCACTGGGCTACGGTGCGGCGGTGGGGGGGGGCCCGTGAGAGTGGGCGCCGCCCCGCGCGCCTCTGGCCACGCGGTCTCCATGTCCGAATCCGTGCCGTGGGCTGGGCTGGGCGCCTTCAGGCCAACGTGCGGCTGGGGAGGACGAGGACAGGGCGGGGTGGGGCAGGGGCGCCTCGGGACAGCTCCGGAGGACGCGGGCTCGGCCGGCGGGACGGCATTCCAGGTGCAGGGCGCGCGGGCCACGTGCCCTCCGGCGGAGGCGGGGCT